TTAGGAAAAAGTGATGGGGAGGGGAGTGGACAAGGATTTGATCAAAACACCTTATATGCATGTATGAAATTCTCAATAAATTTTAAGTTAAAAAAAAGAGATCAGTAATGTTAGTCTTTGTGGAGAGACTCTTATTTTAGACTCTATATACCATTTTTGTGCTTTTATATTCTATAGTATGTGTATGTCTATGTGTATAATATAATCTATAATGATAAAAGGAAAATGAAAGCATGCCAATCTAAATCCCCAGTCAGTCCTTTTCCAGGGCCTTATCAAATGCTCATAGAAAAAAAAAATGCAGAAAATGTATAGCACAAAATTCCTTTGATAGGGCTTAAGGTATATTTTTTTAGACTGTGATTTTAATGAGTCAGGATATAATTCTCTAGTTATGGGAATCTTGGAACCAATCTCCTTAAACAAAATGTTCTGAACTCACCAAAAGTTAAGGGAATGGTTTTATAATGACATCTAAGTTACCCTTTCATGATACTTTGAGTATCAAATAGATTTATACTACCAATAATGCATGTTATTTTATATCCTGATATCCTTAAAAATGGAGGAATAAAACATTACAGTTGAGCAAACGACCACAATGGATGCAACAGTATCTTTTCATCAGGCAACACAATTCACAGCTACAGTCCACTAGCTTTATCTCTTCATAGACTTATTTACTTACTATCTTCATATGTGATCCCATGTGCTTCTTCACTCCAGTCACTCCAGAAGCCCTTGTTATCCTCCTTCATACAGCGAATCCTGAATACATATTCTGTAAAAGGTTTAAGGTCCTGAATAGTGAATGAAGATCGGGTAGCCACGGTATCTTCAGGAGGGACCTGAAAATAAAACAAATTGAGCAACAACAATAGCAAAAATAAACCCCAATATATAAAAAAGTCTTCTAAATTGTATACAGTGTCTGTAGCCATCTTGAGCTACATAGCAAGTAGCAACTTCCAGGCCAGGCTGGCCTTTTAGGGACCTATAGGGCTATTAGGTACTACCTAATCAAATGAGCCAACCAATCAACCAAAGAAAAACATACAAAGAAAGACAAAACAAAGCAATAAAATGAACAACAACAAAATTCAAGGAGAGCTTAGTAAATGGATATGGGCAAGAGTACAGGGGACCCCTAGTGGTTAGTACTCTGGGGAATTGTACTGTTACTAACTATGCCCCAAGGGAAAAGCAACTTATCAGAAACCAAAAGAAGAGTTAGAGAGGGCTGCCTCCATAGGCACAAGTTTAGGCTGAGAAACAGCCTACTTACTCCACAGAAGTAGGAAAATAAACGTGCTGCTCTCAATTCTATCCCTCTTTTCCCACCAGGCCCCCTCCATCCATTAAGTCTCAGGAAGTTAGATGGAATGGAAACCCACAATGAAATCCATACAGGGCAGCATGCGTGACAAGAATAGTGTGGAGAAGGAAAGAGTGTTGCTCTGGTAGGCACAAGGAAGATATTCAGCCCCATCAAGAAAATAAAAGCTAGGGCAGGCAAGATGGTGCAGAGGGTAAAGGCAATTGCCACCATGTCTGACGACTTGAACTGGATCCCCAGAACCCTACATACGTTGTGCCATTAATGCATTCACACACAAAGTAAATAAATGTAAAAACCAAAACCAAACCAAACAAAAAACTAAAGAAAGAAAAGGGAAAAAAAAGAAAACCAAAAACTAGCCTAGCAGATAAGCTTGTCTCTGTGGGGGTGGGGGATAGGGAGGTGGATTAAATATATACAACTCTTTCTGAGACTTCAATGGTGGATACAAAATAGAGGTTAAGTTCATTGGGTTTTTTTTTTAACTATTGAATTAAGAGTCTATGATATTAAAATACATTTTGAAGAACTTTAGGTATCTATCTTCTCTGTACAATAAAAATCATTAGCCCAATTTTGTTTTGTTGCTTTTCCTGATTGTATTCTTTGTCCTTAAGAGGAGTGGAGGATAGCAGTAGCAGGGTATGGGCTCAATATCCCTATAGGCTCATTATTGCAACCAGGGCAGTAAAATGAATGAATGAACTAATCAATGAATAAAAGCAAAAGCATGCTATTAGTGATATATGGAATTGGAAAAAAACAAAAAACAAACCAAAAAAAAAAAAACAGCAGGCAGCTCAGTGCTAAGAGTGAGAGCCTTTTAAAAAGCTCCAAGTATTTTCTTTGCCAACAGCATTAGCTTTGGGTATGCTATCCCTTCCCTTTTCAGTTTTACAAATTTCCCACCAATCTTTTACCATGTTAGGGGTTGGCAAGCTTGCTAGAAAGGGCTAGAGAATAAGTATCTTGGGCTGGGAACACAGAGTCTGTCACAATTATTCAACTCTTCTACTATAGGCCCCAAATAGACAATAAATGTGTTTCAATAAAATTTCATTTATAAAAGCAGGTGGCAGGCTTCAGCCAACTGCCACAAAGCTAGCCTGGGAACTGTGATGGGTCATCCCCTGCTTGACCATCTCTATCATCCCTTCTTGCAGTCCTTTCACATTCCATCAAAATTGCTCTTCCCTATTGCTCTGAATTACTTCCTGGTTTCATGTAAAGGTTACTTTGTTTTTAAATCTGCATGTCTGTCAAATGAAATGTTCCACATAATCAGAAACTTAAGACGTTCAGAAAATGGTTGAGATTTTGTCATTAGCGTGTTCAAGAAACACTATTTGAATAAGCAGTAACTTTCAATGTACCTGGCTCCAAGTTGAGGCATCTTTGGTCCTATATTGAATGTTGTATTTCAGTCTTATAACATTCTTAATACTTGGATTGATCCATGTTAACTTTAATATAGTGGACATTTCCTCTGAGGTATTCACTGTTAAATTACGTGGTGGGTTGGGCTTCACTGAAGAATAAAATAAGTCCTAATGTTGATCATATTTTACTTTTACAATTTCATATGCAAAGTCAAACAAACTATAAATTTCTTTATAAATATTATTCTTACCAAATGAAATAATTTCTCTAAAAATTGATGTTACACTATATAATGGAAAAGATTCTAAAATCCTTTATTAAAATCTTTAATAAAGATGTTTCCTTTTTCTTCCTTATCTGTTTAATACATTTGTTAATTTTCAGATTCAGCAAAAAACAATGAAATAGTTATGATAAATTACATTTTAAAAAAGAAAATGAAAATGGAACAAAAAAGTACACTGAGACTGCAATGGTATAAGATGTTTGAGAGCTGGATAAACACCAAAAGATTGCAAAGAGAGCCAAGCCTGGTGGTGGAGGAAGGAGGACCAGGAGTTCAAGGCCAGCCTCAGCTACATAGCCAGTTTAAAGCCAGCTGGGGCTACACAGATCTTGTCTCAAAAACAAAACAACACAAAACAAACAATGATAAAACACTCAAGATACAAAGTGAAAACAGCTCTTAGTATGGTGGGATAACAGCTATTTTTCTGTTTCCAAATTATATTTAATAATATTGAAAAGAGACTGTAAAAATCATGATACCATTTGTACAATACTTTAAAAAAAGTCTGAAATATAATTTACAAGCTACTAAGTACAAATTCAGGCTTATAGGTACCTCTATCCACAGGATCGAAATTGATATGCTCTGAGGTCACCTTGCCAAGAGCATTTGCCGCTTCTACCCAGACTTCAATGTTGACAAAATAGACAGGAGGGTAGTTGACAAGGCATAAGGTGGGGGTGCCACGTTTTGTAACACAATCATCAAATTTCTCTGTTGCCCTAAACACAAAATTGAAGAACCAGTCATTAAAAATAGATTTGAAAATATTAAGGTGATAAAAGTTACTGGAAGAGGATTAGATGTGACTCAGATTGTTGCAGTAAACTTCACAATGAACTGTCGATCACCAAAGGCCAAAACCATTTCTTTAAAACTGAGCTTGGTTTACACCTACAAAACTATTTCCAAGTTTTTAATCTGAGAGTTCTGCAGTTTAGAATTTTATGTCTATCCTACTGACTCTTCTCTAAAGATTATTTATTTCCCTGTGATCCTAGTATAGTGGACTTACCTTATCCATAGAGGCATGTTTCAGAATCCCCAGTAGATGTCTCAAACTTTGGGTAACGCCAAAACCTATGTACATTTTGGTTTTTACCTATATGTACAGACCTACAGTGGCATTTAATTTATAAACTGAGCACAACAGATGAACAACTATAATACACTATAATGAAAATGAATGTGGTCTCTCCCAAAACACTGTACTGTACTCACCTGTCTTGACATGCTTTAAGAAGAACACAACGCCTACAAAATGATCTGAGGTGAGATGAATGACGTTGGCACCATGAGACAGTGTTGAGCTACTACTAATCTGACAATAACTCAGAAAGAGGATTATGTTTCAGGTGATCCTAGATTAACCATGATGACACTTGCAGGTGTTGTCCATGGTTGGTGATCCTTGATAGTTGAAAGTGTTTGCTGAAACCTTCTGGAAGAACACTGTAATCAGAACTTGTTTCTTTTTTAATTCACCACAGGGTTTCTAGAAAGGCTGTCACCCTTCAGTGATCACAAAGGTGCCTCTAGTACTGTATTTCTCTAAGGACTGTATTTCATATTTCTTTATTATCTGTGCAATTCAAAACACTCTGGAAAATCTCTAAGTTCTCAAACTTATGCCCTGTGAGGTATAAAATTACAAATTTCTATAAACCACTGCTGGTTCTGTTTCAGTTTCTTCTTCTGTAGATGACTCAAACTGGACCATTCTTCCTGAGTACTTCTCAATGGCTGTCAATGCTGTTCCACTTCATCAAACACGTTGGCAAATCATTCTTGATTGACTTTTTCTTTTTAATTTTATTTTATGTGTATGTGTGTACTGCCTGCATGTAGGTAAGTGTACCTATGTCCTGCAATGCCTGCAGAGGACAGAAGAGGCTGTTGAATTCCCTGGAACTAGAGTTATGGACAGTTGTTAGCTGCCATGTGGGTGCTGGGATTCAAACCTGGGTCTTCTGCAAGAACAGTCTTGACTGACTTGTTTTACCATGTGAATGATTCTCCTGTCTTCCTTGTGAGTATTTTTAAATCATTCACAGTCTCACTCTATAAATTTTCCAGCAGACATTTACAGCTTCTAGTTTTAACTGATCATTGCAACTTTGATGAACATTATTGCCCCAGCAATGGTAAATCATCTTCAGCACCTTGTATGTACCAATTAGGGTCTGCATTAGTTGCTGATTAAATGCAATCAATACAGTTGGCATATGTGGCCTTGACAAGTCAGATGATCAAGTGACTGAGTCAATGAGGTAAAATGCTACTTAATAGTTTTATTTTCATAGCAGATTCAAATAATTAGATGCACTATCTACTATTAGTAGGATTTTAAATTCCAACATTTCTTCCAAGGACTTTCCACTTCTGGGATGAAACACGGAGGGAATCACCCCATAAATAAAATGGCTGTCATCTCCACATTCTGATTATGCTACCAGAACACAGGCAGGAACTATGTGGGTTCTTCACTCTGTATACCAGACCAAATCATATGTCCTGAAACTGTGGCCACATAGTACCAGAGTTAATCTGTCCTATGTTTTATACCCTGGTGTCACCTCTCACCTTAATGACTATGTTCAATTGGACATCTTCTAGACAGTATCCCTTCTCAATGAACTTCTGTTGGAAATGTAACAGTAGCTTCTTCACTGGCACACAGGTTCTGCAGTATATTTATGTTTCAGTTCCAAACCACTCCTAAATGTGTGATATCATCCCATACTTGTAGTAAATGGCTTGATGTCACTTGCCTTATGGGATCGCTTGCTCACATCTCCTTGCAGGCCCAGTGCTTCCTGGTGCAAGACCTTCCTATCATTTGGAGCAGGATTTCTGTCCATTTCGTTCAGCCACAAATGTAATGTCTTTCTATCTTAACTAAGTGCTTATCATAGACTGCAGTGCTAACTTGCAATTTAAGGTGTAAAACTAACACAAATTTCTTTTTCTTCTTCATAATATCAAAGAGGGAAAATTTTTCCTTACTGTAAATCTCATATAGTAAGTATAGCATATGATCCCCCCGCCCTCCTTATTCAAGAACGTCCTGTTTTTCACTTAAAGAAAACACTGTGTAGCTTCTCTTTGGCTTATACAAATTGTTATGCTTTGGGGGCCATCATTAAGTAAAATAAGTGTTTCTTTTTTAAAGACAAGCACTGTGTTATCACTAATAGCCAATTTAATAACCAAGGTAACTAATAGGTAATAAGCATGTGGCATATGACAGCATGGATACACAGGAAAAAGGGATGACCTTGAGTCCTCAGTAGGATGGAGGGGACAGCGCCAGATTTTACCAAGCTGATCAGAAGGGTAATTTAAACTTGGGAATTATTTCTGGAGTTATTCATTTAATATTTTTAGATTGAAATCACAGATAAAGGGGGACAGCTCTGAAGTTTTTCTCCTTGATACAGAATTCTTACAATATCAGCAATGTCTTTCTCTAATCATAGGATATTAGAAAGTGATAGGAAATTAGGGATAAGTTCTAACAAGTCAGAAAATTTCTTCAGTCTTCATAGTCAAACCCATGGTGTCATGTTCTGATTTCTATTATCACAGAAGTTTCGATTTAACTATTCATATGTGCATGTAGCTATGCCTCAGTTTAAAATATTCATATAAAATAAGCATTCCTAAAAAACTGAAGGATAAAGCAAACTCAGGAATGGATAACCTCTAGGGGAAGGAAGGAAATAAAGCAGAAGAGATAAAGATAGAACCTACCTAGACTTCTCTAATTACAAAGATTTGATTTGGGAGAATAATTTATTATTTCACATAACTATGTGTATATATATATACATGTCCATGAATGTATATATATGGATACACATGCACATGAACACATGTCACATGTCAGAGGATGACCTCAGGCATCATGCTTTTTTTTTTTTTTGAGTCAGGGTATCCAACTGGCCTGGTATTCACTGCAGCTTAGAACTGGATGACCACTGAGCCCCAGATATCCATCTGTCTCTGCCTTTCCAGCGCTGGGATTATAAGCCTGTGTTACCATGTCTGGCTTTAAAAAATTTTTAATTCTAGTTCTAGAAACTGAATTCAAGTTCTTGTGTTTGTAAGGCAAGCACTTTACTGAATGAGCTACCCCCAAGCTTAATTTATGTAACTATTAAGAAAAATTTCTAAAAAAAATGCAAATAAAGCATGAACTTATATACTGAGTTTGTGGTATATAAGGAATGATTTCAAACACTTTTTTAAAGTTTTTTTAAATTTATATTTGTGTATCTGTTACAGAGGTGGTGTTGGATCCCCTGGAGCTAAAGTAATAGGTGGCTGTGAGCCACCCAATATGGGTGCTGGGAATTGATGTGGGGTCTTCTGGAAGAGCAGCAAGCACTTTAAATTGCTGAGCCAGCTCTTAAGTCACAATCTCGGACATTTAAAAACAATAATTTGATTACACATACTTGTGGAAAAAAGCAATTGTAAAATTGCTTTTAGAAATCTTATCACTGGTGCTAATACTGGAATTGTTACTTTGCAGTTGTGTTTATTGTGGGAAGCAGTGAAAATGTATGTCAGTGTTATTGGAAACCAGCATTTGCAAAGCACAGGAAAGGAGAAGTAGCTGTTAGATGGACTGAACAGGACAAAAAAACTACAGCCCCCTTTTAAAGTGATAATATCAACCTGAGCTCAAGATGCACTTCATCTTTGTATGATGTTTTTTATCTTAAACCACAAATATTTCCTAGCTCTTTCCACTGGGAAAAAAAAAAAAAAAAAAAAAAAAAAAACCAAAAAAAAAAACCCAGGGGCAGGTGTCTCCCAC